CTTCACAGCTAAGGCACAGGAAGACTCTAGGGTCCCAGACAGGTGCCCAAAAGCAGAACAGAGGCGTCTGTTGAAGTCTGTGCAAAAGGCACGGAGAGGAGTTGGGATGTGCCAGCAGCGGGACGAGAGGCGTGCGTTCACGCCCAGTTGGGCAGGCGTGCTGGTGTCTGTGTCGACAGTGAAGAAAGTGTGAAGAGGGCTGCCATCTGTGCTGGTTGGGAGGTTGGTGGTGTTGGTGGTGGTGGTGGTGGTGGTGGTGGTGGTGGTGGTGGTGGTGGTGGTGGTTTAAATCCTGGTCAAGTGTTTGTCGTGGACCTGGGGGTGTTGTTTGGGGCTCCAAGGTACGGGATTTACCACGCCATCCACCTGCATCCTCCGCCGCCTCTGGTCTTCTTGACTGTATTGACAACGGGCCCATGTGGAGGAGGAGGAGGAGAAGGAGGAGGAGGAGGAGGAGGAGGAGGAGGAGGAGGAGGAGGCGAGAGTGTGGTAATCGATGCGGAAGTTCGCACTCACGGTGAACTAAATTACATTCAAATCACCGTGCCTGTTTCACCATGCGGTGGAACACATGGTGGACGTCTACGGACATGATATCTGAATTGTCGTATGTAAACTGAGAAACGGACTTCAAAATAAATTTAAATAGAAAGATGCGATAGGCTTTGAGAACAGAATAACTTCATTGCGTGCATTTTTGAGACAGGTTCCCAAACTTTCCGTCAGACCTATGAGTCTTGTACAAAAACAGTCCACTGTTTAAACGCGTACGTCCAAATACTGCTGAATCAACTTACACATTAGCTTTTTACAAAGAATCGTATCCAGAGGACATTCCACACTCTGAGAGAAACTATCCAGTCTCTCACAAAAGTACGTCTGTCTACAGCTGACTACATGGAACCAAAGAACCTTATCCCGATGAGGAAAGTTATCAGATGCATATTTTCCCATAATTGATTTCCGCTTCATCATGTGCGTCGATGCATGATGCATTAAGAGTTTAAACAAGAAATTATTTCGAACGTTCCGCTCACCCAGGTCCCGAAAGCAGTTACTAGGCGAACTCTCCAGAGTATTTAAGTTTGTTGAAAGACAGCTAAAAGAAAAACATCAACTACAAGTAGCAGTTTTGCCGCCTACCTAGTAAGGAGGGGCCACAAATTCTTGGGAACAATGCACCCGAATGAGGCATGCATCAATCAGCATAGCTATCTAGATACCACACACAAAATCACTGAGGACGAATTCAAACTGACGCAACCAATCCTAATGCGATGAAACATCGGGGTGTCGGCATATCGATTTAGATGCTATCTACAAACGAAAGCGAGGGAGGCCAATGAGGACAGAATGAGGGCGAACAATTAACACGCAGTGGCGCGTATTCGACCCATCGCAAATCCTTTGTTGCTCACGGTTAAAAAGTCAAATTTTTGTGTACATGACCTATAAGTCTGAGCAAAACGAGCCAGGGAATCGGTCTCAAAAATTAGCGTATTCTATACCTTCTGCTGTTAAAGGATTTTTTTATAAATGGCCATCCCTGTTCCTTCAGGCATTCGTCAGTACCACCTTAACGGCATGAAGCACCGATGTTCATGCGACTACTTACGAGGGCTATAGATTGAATCTCAGGTAACACGTGGACGTGAAGGTCTCGTGACCTAATCGGTGAACAACCATCCACCATAGCTGGCGTTCCGATCGCAACCGACAGGACAACAGACGCGTGGCTCAATGGTAGGGCGTTGCATTTAAGGACTAAAGGATCTGGAGCTCGAATTCCAAATCAGCCCGATCTGGGGCTGAGTTTGGCTGACTGGTGCCGGTCAGCAGACCAGAAATGGCCGCTATACTGTCCTTCACATTGTGCGCAGTCAGTGACCTGTCGCTTGCAAAAGTGGAATCCGCACAAAAAATCAAATTGAGGCACCAACTGCTTGTTGAATTAATCCTTCCTGGATCATTCGTCGAGCCTAATCCATATGGTGATCGCGACGCTGACTAGCATGTTCACGCGGTCCTCACGTTGGCGCAGAGTTGTTCAGTCTTCTGAGAGATTCCTTGACCTGATTTTGCGCTAGTTGCTTCTAACAGAGCAACCTGGCTGGTCTTCTTAGGCTCTCGTTGTGATCACCCCAACTCTTAACGTCCTCTTGCCCCGTCGCAACACCCCATAAGCGGAAGGGACTTCAATGTGTCCGAAATCCATGTTCTAGTCTGAGTTGTCTGGGTTTCGGACTGCCATGGTCTACGATAACGGCACCTGAAAAGTCTCAACATTTCCTCCAAAGCCTCACCTATCACAAGATATTTTGAGACTTCCAAATAAGTGTCCTGTCTTGCTGCCGACCTTCGGGTGAGCAGTTTAAGAGCCATTTTAGGAGAATGCTAGTACCAAAAAAGGAGTAAGCCATTGCTTCAGATGTGGAAATGCACTCCCTGAAGTGGCTTATTGACCGGACCGCTTTCTGAGTAACAAATAACACCAACTAGATGAAGGTATTCCTTCGATAGATGGAGGCCCATTTGAGTGATTCTGCAACAATTGTCTGTCGGTTTCTCGGTGAACGAGGATACAGACTACTGATGCGAAAATTCCCCAAAAAAATCACTCGGACATTGGAGTCAGCAATTCGATGTGGCTGTAAACGCCAATGAAACATGTGTCATTATTTAAGTAATGTATAGGACTGACTTATATGAACCCCTAAACAAGAAGTGAGAATAGAGATTACCTGTAACATGGGCGTCTTTGAGCCAACTTCCAGTGAAATTGGGGTTGAGTTTGAGTTTAGGTTGAGGGTTCGGTTAAGAATTAGGTTTGAGGCTAGATATAAGGTTAACAGTAACGCAAGCCAGGATCAAGTCCAGGATTAACGTAAGGGCTAGGACTAACTGCAGAGTTAAGGTTTAGGTAGGGGTGGGGTTCAAGCTAAGGACAAATGTTTGGTTTTATATTAGGGTTGGGACACGGGAATATTTTGCAATTTCTAAAATATTTTGCCTTTTTTGCCTTTGCAGGTTCACCTTTATTACTTGGGCGGGCGTTTTTATTCCCATGTACCGTTTTAGGTGCGACCAAATTTTCATTTAATTTTAAAACTTACTTAATGATAATTAAGTAAGTTTTAAAATTAAATTAAACTTTGGCCGCACCTTAAACGGGACGGGAATAGAAACGCCCGCCCAAGTAATAAAGGTGAACCTGCAAAGGCAAAAAAGGCAAAATATTTTAGAAATGGCTAAATATTCCCGTGTCCCAACCCTAATATAAAAACAAACCTTTGCCCTAAGCATCTCTAGATGCGGTGAATTTAGATTTCGTAATAGCATGAGATTATGTCCGGAATGCTCTCAATTATTTGCCAATAGAAGCGAAGAGACGAGTCCCAGGAAGCAGTCTTGAAGAAGGAGACCCGATCGCTAGGACAAGAGCTTTATGAGCCTGACGTTTCGGATTCCTGCCAAAACCCATCATTAGAGACAAAAGCAGATACGGTTGGTTCATGCTCAAGGGGCTGCAGTATTTATAAGACGCAGTCGCCCCGCTACCGCATGCCTATGAATATTCACGACTGTCCCCTTCATCAGGGATCGTTGCACTTGATGTGCTGACTGTCTGATGGCGGACATACGCGTCGTTGATTTCTGCAATTTCATCACGTTCGTTTTAATGTTGGTGTGATGATTGCTCGACCGTCTGATTCACCGACCCTGGCGTTGGGAAAAGTGTTCACCTGTGCGCTTCCCGCGTGACTAGGTACTCCTCCTAGGCGAAGTCTCAGCACTGAGAATAGAAGGGGACGGTTATCGCACTTGTTAATGGACTGGGGGCCAGTAACCCATGACTCAAGCAGTTCCCGGCTCACGCGGTTGTCACATCTTGCGAGAATTTCGACCTCGTCTAATTTGAATGTGTGGCCGGATCTTGTCGAATGAGCCGCAACTCAATTATTTGCTTATTGGAGGCGAGGATTTCATTATTAATCTGCAGTTATAATCGTGTTTGACAATGAGCAATTTAAGCTTTCTAGAGAATCTGTTTGTCTCACGTATTGCGCTTAAAAACTACCCTACTGAGCACCAAACCCCCCTTTAAGGCTTCATGCAAAATCCAGGCTTCCGGGTTTTAAGATGACCGCTAGTCAAGTGACAGCAAAGAACTTCCCATATAGCCGACAATGTCCATAAGCCCCACAGGAATGCTGTGAGTATGGAATTGTCGGTAAGATGTGATAACGTAGTCCCGACTGATGGACAAAATACTGTTGGGTTTGGGGTTGGGGGTTATAGTCAGGGGTTAGGGCAACTATTTCTCAACCACTCAAAGTATAACCGTATAATCCCAACAGCTTTTCATTTGTACACAACTGCTTGACCTCGTCGCCTGTGCGATCCCCCACTTCACCTGTAAAGACCCCTCTATTACATCCGGCCCTGTATTTCAGGTGGCTGGGATTTTTTTACTTCAGGTGGGGCCACATAACCATATCTGACCGAAGTCTCTTTACGTTCTTATGCGTGGTAAGCTGTAAGGCGCTGCAATCCTCAAGGTCAAGCTTCATCAGGCAAGACTACTGCGGGCTGCTTGCGATCTCACATGTCCTACTAGCGTGCGGAGTTCGAGAATTGTCTACAGGCGAGAGTCTGAGCAGGCAGACATGACCTCTTCACCAGAAGATGCTATTGGTTTCTCCCTCCTATGCGGCTTTTTTAGACATGCCAGGTCACATGTGTGGCATTGGGCAACGCACAGGGTGGAATTTGATTGGTTAAATGTCCATTTTAAGGCAAGGCAGTAGCTGGGAATATTATGAGTCGTTAACACTCCTCTGTTTCAAAATGCTCTCCTTCATTCCTGTCTTGCTGTTTAGTGTCGGAGCAAGTTTTGCCTGTCCTGGCAATTCTGGTAAAAAAAACTACTCGAGTTTGTCTATTCCATGCATTTTTCCGTTTCTAACGCAGACATCGAGTTTCACCTAGGCTTCCAACTGATGCTTCCCTCTGTTTATGTCAATTCAGGACCAAGCCAGTGTGCAAGAAGGGAGGGACTGGTGGAAATTGAAGTGGCCGCGAAGAATCTCGTGGATCCAATCTCAGAATTAAGGACTACCGAGCCGTACTCTGAGATCAGCATCACTGTTTTTGAAATGACGATTCAGAAAACGCAGACGAAGGCACAGTGCCGTTCCCACCAAGATGGAGGACTCTTCAAGGAAGTTGAGTGCACCATTCCGACAGAACGTGTTCGCATCTTCCTGGAGCAGTTGTGAGTTTATTATTGAGCAAAAACTTATTTTTGTATTTACGTGCTCTACTCTCTCAACCTTTCAACAGAACAGTACTCCAAAGCTATTTACCCCGAAATGTGCGTAATGTTGCACGAACTCCTTTGCATTTTAGGGAGGACAACATGGCTGTGGAGGCGGAGTGGTATCGGGCTAATGCAATTGAGATTCCCATTCCAGGCGCAGTACTTAATGTGACGTTGAATGGGACGTACGCCGACAATAGCGCCTCTTCTCTGAATGCCCTACGGCTTGCTAAACTCAGTATTCAAAACATAGCCTCCCACATTGAAGCAACGAGACGTCTTCTTCCCAGTCCCCGTGTAAACCCTTGGAAGACATGGGCCCTTGACAACACTGAGCGACTTCTCAGAGAGGCCTTCCTTAAGCACGGTACAGTGCAGTGCAATTAATAGCGGGACAAATCTTCGTCCTTGAAAGTTCAGGATTGGCTGCTTTCAGGACGCTGACTTTCACTCCAAACACCCTTTTTCTTTGGTATATTGCTACTCCAATTGACCATGACAGTACATGGTCAGGTCAGCACCTACCTTTTTATTTCACACAAACTTCGAATGAGTCATTATTTGAGGACGTCTGTGGGCCATTTTTCGTCATCTCCAGGATGCCAGGTTTTCGGCAGCCGCTCCCTCTGAAATGCCTGGTCTTGGGAATACACATTTTTGAATCGTCTTCAGCCTTCTTCCTAGCAGTTCTCGGGCGGCAAGGGGATTCGCATCATCAGACATCCATGTGGGTGTCGCGTGCCATGAGTAGGGCAGAAGTGTGTGGCCATGTTTGGCAGTCGGTTGTGTGTAATTTGGAGAGGCATCAGCGTGCCTTCGGCATCCATGACTGAAAGCCACTTCACTCTAGTACTGAAACAGTCCTGACGGGGAGAAATTAAGGACAAGGACATTCCAGCAGAACAGAACGAATGAGGGTTTCTTGAAAATGCTACAGGGAATGCTAGGAAGAGTTGGACAAATACCAACTAGAAGCACTTTTACGGATTTCTTGAGCAGGCTAACTTCAGCGACGGTTATATTTTCACGTTGTCCTATCTTAAACTCACTGTCCACGCTCAGGTTGCCACCTCGTAGTAAGTCAATGAAAAAATATTTCTTCTCCAACCGGCAGAGACTCCTTCGTCCCTTAGATAACGTGTTTGCTCTGAGGATTAAAACTACCTCCCAAGTTGGTCGTTGCAGACAGGGACATAGCAAATAAGCAATCGGGGTGGATGAGAGAGATTGGCCCACTCAAGTAGTCACTGCCTCCTCTGACTGATTAAATTGGCCCCAGTGACATAATTAATTTAACAAGTGTTTTGGCAAGTCTGAAAAATTTGAAATACTGCTCAATTTTGAAAAAGTCTGCAGCCTTACCGGGACTCGATCCCGTATGATTTGAGTACAGTCAACGTGGACAAGAGCCTCTACGGCTTACACGCTTGGGCTTAGTTACCCGCCCAACCTACCACAGGGTATGTAAAAAATCCTCTCCCACTCAGAAGTAATACAAAATTGCATTTGTTTACTCAGGTATTTTGTGGCATTGTGTTGCAGTCACCATATCGACGAGATGAATGTCAATCAAGTGATGCATTATTGCTCCACCGAAACATGTGGATTTACCTAGAACTGGACGTACCCAAAACCATCCCCGTTCGTCAGTACCTGAGAATTTCAACTCCGTTTTAATTGCGTTATCTACAGCAACGCTTATTTTGAAATTTTGTGTGTCCCCCAGCACAGTACACCCGGATTCTTTCCGAAGTATGGTTGATCCCGGATAAAAATATCTCAGTGGCGTATGTTACTGTCTCCTCTGAATGAGCGTAAGCATGTTAGGTTTATACAATGCCTATATACGGCCTCCTAAACAGGACGTGAGAATAGCAATCGCCTGTAACACGGGTGGCTTTGAGTCGACTTTCAGTGAAATTAGGGTAAAGCCTAAGGTTAGGGTGAGGTTTAAGTTAAGTATTGAATTTAAGGCCAGATTCAATTTTAACGGTAAGGTGAGTCAGGATCGAGTTTATGGCTAAGGTGGGGGCAAGTGTTAACTGCAGATTTAAGCTTTTTGGGGAAGACTTAGGCTCAAGAATAGGGCAACGGTTTTATTTTGGAATTTTTCTCCTCTCTGGAATTATGCGCAAGACATCTTTATTACTTAGGCGGGACGTTCCCGTTTTAGGGGGGCCGCATAAGTCAGTCCTACCCTTAATGACCTGACTTTTGTTCCCCAACGACGTCTAAAACTTAAAGTCCCATTAAATCTACATGTAGGATATGATTGCTAGAAATGTTTTATTCAAGATCAGTCTATCTTTTTGGATGGATTAGATTCTAACATTTGTGGACAGGCTACTTGTAAGAAAAAAGAAACTGCCTGGATTCTCAGTTAAAGTTCGACTCTCATTTGTTTGCCTCTTCATAGGTCAGAAATGGTCCCCCCGGTGGCACTGTCTCTGTCGATAAGCACTTCTCGATCGCTGGCCTGTTGAAATGTCTACATAGATGACCACAATTGAATAGTCATTTCCATTTTTAAACATATGAAACACTACTTGTCGTGTAGGTTAGCTTCTGTGCACACATTATTCAGAAATAGAACGAGCAAAGCATTTATAGTTTCAGAAAAAATATCAGTATATATATGGGCGCTCTGCCGTGCATTCATAATCGAAGAACGGAGTCTATAAGGGATCAAAAACAGTGGAAATGGCCTCAATATATAGAAAAAGGCATCTTCTTACGTTAACGGTCGAAACATATTAGTATTTCTCAGGAACGCGAAAGAAACGACCAAAAGTCTCAAATTTTTACTTGGCCTCACAATGCAAAAATGCAAAGTACACTGAGATCCGTCAACGGAGTGCAGTAATAAAGCACTTCTTACAGAGGTAACTTATTGAGGAAAGTTTGTTTTATTGATCAAAGGCATATTCGCTGCTGACTTTCGTTGTGGACAGCCGTTTTTTTTTCGAAAATGAAGTTCGATGTTTGAATGAGTCTTCAAATGTGACCCAAACGACCATCTTCGAGAAAATGAGTGCCCGAACGCACATTAATTTGGTAAATACCTTGAAGAATAATCTTATTTTAAAGTTCTCAACAGACAGGTAATTCAGAACCTGATTTTATGGAAGATCGGGTGAAAACACTGAAAATCATGAAGTATTCAGCAACATTCCGAGGCTGATCTGAAACTTAACGTAATCCAAAGCAAACAAAAAGCGTAAATTAATTTAACGGAAAAAACGTTCTCTCCATAAACAGAAAATGGTACGTTTAAAATCACGCCTGTCAGTTCTATTTAAATTTATTAGGCACCGACCGGCTTTATGGCATGTCATCTTATGAAAACTTTTGTTCCTACGAGGTCCCATGGGTGAAATCAAGCAAAATCCAGCTTCTATTGTTCAACCCCATCTCATTTGCTTTAAACAAATGAAAAAAACACTACTCACTGGAAAACAGTTTTGGAATCTACACTTAGAATGTTGGCAGTTAACAAACCGTCATATATGAAATCACACTATTTAGTTAACGATATTTAGGTGAAAACTTCCCTGAAACACTATTATTAGATGATATTTTATTTGTACTTTCATATGTACTACGTCTTTGGTATGAGAGTACATTCTATACATCGAAAAACGAATTTTACTCATTTTCAATCATTGCTGACGTTTTCGGGATATTGAGCTTTTCTGAAAAATTGGCATTTCTAAACAGTGCAACACTGCCTTTAATATTTCTTTTACGTTTTTAATTCTTTTAAGCTTGTACTTAATTAACATAGATGAGATGGAGCCGGCAAAGACAAGGGAGACCGGAATGGCTATTTCTGGCTTATAAGCCGTCATCAGCCAGTCATACCCAACCCCAAGTGTGGATCACTTGAGATTCGAACCCGGGATCTTTGGTCATGGAGTTTGACACGGGCCCGTTGTCCTGTCGGTTGTGATCGGGAATATCAATCATGGCAGTGGGCGCTCACCGATCAGGTTACGGAACATACTCATGAAATGGTGTCGGTTTGCGAGTGATTGGCAATCATTCGTAAATTTCGACATATTTCATGAGTTAGGTCACAAACTGTAAATTTGGAGCACAGTTCGAGATCAAGCATGCTGACCAGAGCAGGACTTTGATGTGTGCTGCACGCACCTGCCATTCAGCCCTCTTAACCTGCAAACAGGTCAGTTAAGTACAAGTAGACAGGAGTGTGGTCCGACTTTTTGTTTATGCGGTGGGTGGACCTCCTTCAAAGGGGCCAGTAGGTCAAATATATTCCGTAGCTTGAGCTCAAGACAGCGAAACCAAGTTTAGGCAACAGACAATAAGGTCGCACCTAATGGTCCGACCCGCGCAGCGATTACTGATGAAACTGGCTTCATATGATCCGTAAGGTTTTTAGAAGGCATCTGTTAATTAGGAGAACAGCGTTGAAGACCTAGCACTGTTAGTGATAGAGTCGAGGTAGACAGCAGTTTTGTTAACTCGACGGCCTGGAGAGTAGCATCGAAAAGGTGTGAATAAAAATCGCCGCTGTGCATGTCCAGTACTCGGTGTCTGGGCCTCTCTGACGACCGACGGATTTCCGACCTTGTCGTTCGCACTACCGTAGGCATATGCTCACTCTGGCATTACCGACAAAGACAAGGGAGACTGGAATGGCCATTTCTGGCTTATTATCCGTCGTCAGCTAGTCATAACCAACCCCGAAGTGTGGAACACCCGAGGCTCGAACTCGCGACCTGTTTGTTAGAAGTCCACGCCTCTAACCACTGAGCCACGGGCCCGTTGCCCTGTCGGTTTCCGATGGGGAATATACAATGGTAGGGGGCGCTCACCGATCGTTCTTACGGAACTCACTCGAGCCGTTGTGCCTTAAGGACTCTCTCTGGAGCCCAACCAGCAGCCGCACAGCGGCGCATGATATAGGCAGAATGGCATTACCGACAAAGACAAGGGATACTGGAATGGCAATTTCTGACTTATTAGCCATCGTCAGCCTGTCATACGCAACCCAGAAGTGTGTAACACCGGAGACTCGAACTCGCGACCTGTAAGTTAGAAGTCCACGCCTCTAACCTCGGGTGTTACACTCTTTGGGATTGGGTATGGCTGGCTGCCGACGGCCAATAAGCCAGAAATGCCCATTCCAGCCTCCCTTGTCTTTGTGAGTAATGCCGTTCTACCTATATCATGCGCCGCTGTGCGGTTGCTGGTTGGGCTCGAGAAAGAGCCCCGAAGGCACAACGGAACGAGGGAGTTCCGTAAGAACGATCGGTGAGCGCCCCCTACCATTATATGCTCACTCTCTCTGTCTTTGACGACATTGACGTTCGACAGGCTCAACAGGGCCGCGCGGGCCAAAACGCCGACTGAACAACAACACGCCAGGCAAAGGTTCCGTGAGTTAGTTTGTGGTTTCTAGAGCTGAGTGTGGCCGCCGCCTCAACCTTGCAGATGTTGTGTCGGTCAACCGTTGGGCCTCTGTTTGATGATTGGGGGCAGTATTTGCAATGTCCTAGCACCGCTACGAGTTGTGAAGTTTCTACAGGTGACCGTTAACCAAAATGCTGCTCGTCACGCGTGATTGCAGGTATATCAAGGATCCGTGGACGAAAGATATTTTTCGGTAACGGGGTGGCTGCTGGTGGAATGCCCTGTCTACGGATGTTGTACTCTCCTCCTGTGTGAATTCGTTTAAGTGTAGATTCGATTCGTGTCAAGTATTCCAGTTATCAGGCACACATTCAGTCACACAACCCGTTATATACTATTCACAACAAGTGAGCAACCGTTCATGTTTACCCTTCTTTGGACGAGGTGGCACCTGTCTGCCTTTCACATGCAATTATGTACAAAATCTCTTTTCCGACCTTTCACTTATCGGTGCATTTATCAGGTGATTTTTAACCAATAGGGAGTTCAAAGACGTCCACCTATATTTCCCTTAATTAAACTGAACTGATATATGCTTTGTGACCGTTTATTTGTTAAACGCCAACTGCAAGCTTATTTCACAGCTAGTTTTTAGTGGTCATTCGACCGTGAATCCACTGAATGACACGCAGCTAAGCCAGGGGGAAAACTCCCCATCATGATATTCTCGTCGTCACGGACGCGTACACTCTTAGTCGTCGGGTGGTGAAATTCTTAACTGGATAGATTGGTGAATTGAATTAACGGCCCTCATCATTTTAATCCTGTAACGTCTCAAATCGGGGTAGGACTTAGTTTCCTAGATTGCCAGGCGTGCGCATGGGCAAAGCTGTCGTAGTTGTCCTTCTGGGTCAAACGTGTCCTGCAGTCGAGCTGTAAAAATTGACCAGTCAGAAACGCCTCGCGTTTCTCCCCACGACTGCAATTAACTCGGAGTGTACGGGGTGACGTTGTAGTTTTATGGTAACTCCAGGTCCGTCGGTGTGTATGGATGAACGTTGCGCAGCCTTACTAGTATACCCTGCCGTACATACGCTGTCGACAGTTACCAAGCACGAGATGGCACAGGCGACTCCAACTGGGTCTGGTAGTGCAGGCACGATTACGGTGGCAAGAAGCACCTGTTTGGGCAGTACACTGACAGCCCCCATCGAATGCATCAATGGACCTTGGTGGCCACTTCTGCTTCGTTTCGTCCCCGCACCCCAGCCATGCTCACCCGGCGGCCAACCCCCGAAATCGATCTTGACCGGCGGACTAGACCAGGTGAGTGTCCGGTGTGTGTGTGTGTGAGGGGTGTGTAGGGGTGTCAGCGGTGGGTCCACGTGATGGTCGTAGTGGTCGCCCACCTGCTTGCAGGTGAGACTACACCTAGCGTCCATTTGCTGGCACCTAACTCTCACCTGTGGCTCCACGTAGCTGGGCTCTGCTCAGCGGCCACACCCCGGGCAACCGTCTCGACCAGCCGGCTAAACCAGGTGAGTGTATCCGTGCGTGCACCTGCACGCGCGGTACTGTGGTCTGCGCTGGCCGGATGGATCTTCGTGTCGACATCGTCGAGACGAGGCTCTGCCTGGACCATCGCAGGAGGCCACCAGGTAAGTTCCCCCTCAGGTAAGTGCATTTGCTCTGTTTCTTCCTTTTGTCTGTTGAAGTTGCGTGTCGTCTGCTGCTCTTGCTGCCTGCCCTCTGTATGCTAGTCTGTCTGCTAATAGCTAGATGTAACTCCCGATGCCTGCTGCGACTGTCTGTCTGTCAGTTTATGCCTCTCTCTGCTAATAGCTAGGTGTTACGGTGCTTAACACTTGAATGGTGCCCTCTCACTTCTGTCTCTGATTGATGACTGTGTCTGTTTGTCCACTCTAGCTAGCTGTAAGTCCCATAGCGTTAGGTAGTGTGTATGCTCTCTCCTACTTCACTCCATCACATCACCTCACCACCAAGGTCCCAGGCTAATTCGGGTCGTTCTCTCACTAACAAAAAGTCGTGGCCCATAGTGGAGTCCGGCAGCCGTCTGGGATAACCGGGCAGCCCTGTTCAGGGATGCGTTGCCTGCCCCCGCGAGGGGGAGGGGGCTAGAAAAGGTGCCCTAAAGATCGCTGGGAACCAAGCTGTCTGTAGGCTGGCCGTGGCCGCAGTCGAAACAGCCAAAACCGAAACAACAACAACAACAATCACTCTCTTCCTCTTCCAGCCTATTCTTCTTCTTCTCCTAATCCTACTTTTCGCCGCCGTAGTCGCCAGACTGGCAGGGTGAGCCCGCTCACTCTGGCAGCCTGGAATGTTCGTTCCCTTTTAGACAATCCGAGGAGCAACCGACCGGAACGGAGGACGGCGCTAGTGGCACGAGAACTGCCGCGCTACAAGGTGGACATCGCCGCACTCAGCGAGACCCGATTCTCTGAACAAGGCCAGCTGGAGGAGGTGGGTGCCCACTACACCTTCTTCTGGAGTGGTCGACCCAGGGCAGAGCGACGAGACGCGGGTGTCGCCTTCGCCATCCGGACCGACATCGTGGGACGACTGCCCTGCTTGCCGCAGGGAATCAACGACCGCCTGCCTCTCCGGCGAGGAGGCAAATTCGCCACCATCATCAGCGCCTACGCTCCGCCGATGACCAACCCCGACGCCGTCAGAGACAAATTCTACGAGGACCTGCACGCCCTCTTGGCGACTGTGTCGAAGGCGGACAAGTTGATTGTCCTTGGCGACTTCAACGCCCGCGTCGGCACAAACCACACTGCCTGGAGGGGAGTGCTGGGTCCTCACGGTCTCGCGGCTCCAACGACAACGGCCTGCTTCTCCTCCGCACCTGCGCAGAACACCGCCTCATCCTGACGAATACGTTCTTCTGTCTGCCGGAGCGAGAGAAGGCCACCTGGAGGCATCCTCGGTCGCGCCAGTGGCACCTGCTGGACTGTGTTCTCGTCCGGAGGCGAGATCAGCGGGACGTGCTGGTGACGAAGGCGATCGCGGGTGCTGACGGGTGGACCGACCATCGCCTCGTCATCTCGAAGATGCGTATTCGCCTACAGCCTCGCAGGAGACCACAAGGTAAGCGACCCCCAGGTAAGCTGAATGTTGCTTTGTTGTCTTTGCCCGCTCATCATCTTCATTTCAGCAATGAGCTAGCTCAACGGCTAGACAACCTCCCCATCGCCGATGCCGCCGCTGCCGAGAACGCCTCCGTGGAGAACCGCTGGTGTCAACTGCGAGACACGGTCCAGTCGACGGCGCTCGCCGTCCTCGGTCGCGCTCCCCGCCAACACCAGGACTGGTTCGACGACAACGACGCCGCCATCAGAAATCTGCTTGCTGAGAAGAACCGCCTACACAAAGCCTACGTAGATCACCCCACTGAGGACAGCAGAGCTGCCTTCTACCGCAGTCGCCGACAGCTTCAGCAACGACTGCGCGAGATGCAGGACGCCTGGACTGCTCGCAAAGCTGAGGAGATCCAAGGCTACGCGGACCGCAACGAATGGAAGAACTTCTTCTCCGCGATCAAAGCTGTCTACGGTTCGCCGACGAAGGGCACTGCTCCTCTCCTCAGCGCCGACGGTAGCACTCTCCTGACTGAGAAGACGCAAATCCTACAGCGATGGGCTGAGCATTTCCGAGGCGTTCTCAACCGCTCCTCCGCCATCTCCGACGCCGCCATCGAGCGTTTGCCGCAGGTGGAGATCAACGTGGACCTCGACCTCCCGCCATCTCTCCAGGAGACCATCAGGGCCGTGCAGCAACTCTCCAGCGGGAAAGCACCCGGATCGGACGCAATCCCTGCTGATGTCTACAAGCGCGGAGGTCCCCTACTGATGGATCACCTGACTACGCTCTTCCAGGAGATGTGGCGTCAAGGTGAAGTCCCGCAAGATTTCAAGGACGCAACTATCGTGTACCTTTACAAGCGAAAAGGGAATCGCCAAGTCTGCGACAACCACCGCGGCATCTCCCTACTGAACATCGCGGGGAAGCTCTTCGCTCGCATCCTGCTCAACCGCCTCAATAACCATCTGGAACAGGGTCTTCTGCCGGAAAGCCAATGCGGCTTCCGTCGTCATCGTGGGACCACGGATATGATCTTCGCCGCCCGCCAACTTCAGGAGAAGTGCCAGGAGATGCGGACCCACCTGTACTCTACCTTCGTGGACCTGACGAAAGTCTTCGACACGGTGAATTGTGAAGGACTGTGGAAGATCATGCAGAAATTCGGCTGTCCGGAGCGATTCACTCAGATGGTGCGTCAGCTGCACGACGGTATGATGGCGCGAGTCACGGACAACGGAGCTGTCTCAGAGGCATTCGCAGTGACCAACGGAGTGAAGCAGGGCTGTGTGCTGGCGCCTACCCTCTTCAGTCTTATGTTCTCTGCCATGCTGATGGACGCCTACCGCGACCAACGCCCTGGAATCCGCATCGTCTATAGAACGGACGGTCATCTCCTGAATCACCGACGCATGAACTTCCAATCGCGTGTATCCACAGCCACCGTGCACGAACTCCTCTTCGCCGACGAGTGCGCCCTGAACACCACCTCGGAAGAGGAGATGCAACGGAGCATGGACCTATTCTCCGCCGCCTGCGAGAACTTCGGTCTGATCATTAACACGCAGAAGACGGTGGTGATGCACCAACCTCCGCCCAACTCAGCCACAGCCCCAACGCGCCGCCGCAAATCAGCGTGAATGGGACTCAACTGCAAGTGGTGGAGAACTTACCGTATCTGTGCAGTACCCTCTCCCGCAACACCAAGATTGATGACGAAGTCGCCAACAGGATTTCGAAAGCCAGTCAAGCCTTTGGACACCTCCAAAACAGAGTTTGGAATCGCCACGGTCTCCAACTGAGCACAAAGCTGAAGATGTCCAAGGCCGTCATCCTGCCGACGTTACTGTAAGGAGCAGAGACATGGACGGTGTACACGAAGCAGGCACTTCGACTGAACCACTTCCACCTCAGCTGTCTCCGCCGCATCCTGAGGCTGAACTGGCAGGATCGAATCCCCGACACGGAAGTACTGGAACGAACGGGAACCCTCAGCATCTACGCCATACTGAGACAAATGCAACTGCGCTGGAGCGGCCACCTGGTGCGCATGGACGACGAGCGACAACCCAAACGACTCTTCTACGGAGACGTCGCGACGGGTTCTCGTCGTCAAGGAGGCCAAATTCGCCGTTACAAGGATACCCTGAAGTCCTCCCTGAAGCGCCTGCAAATCAACCCGACCAACTGGGAAGAGCTCGCACTCGATCGTCCGACATGGAGGAGAACAGTGAAGACGGGCGCTGCTATCTATGAAGCCAACCGAATCGCCACCGCCAAAGCGAAACGCGAAGCCCGCAAATCACAACTTCGCCCAGTCCGCAACGCCGCCGCACAACCTCTCCCTACGTGTCCTCGATGTCAACGGACATTCCGGGCACGAATCGGACTTGTTGGACATCTTCGGATAACTGCACCTCTCGAACTGCTCCAGCCATCGTCCCCCCGCCCGCCTCTTCCTCGTCCTCTCTTCCGCCAACTAACTCTGACACTCCTTCTGCACCACCACTTCCATCCTCCTCCTCCTCGTCGTCTACTGCCTCATCGACGACCGCTCAGGCGACTGTCGCGCAAGACATAACCGCCAACTAACTCTGACACTCCTTCTGCACCACCACTTCCATCCTCCTCCTCCTCGTCGTCTACTGCCTCATCGACGACCGCTCAGGCGACTGTCGCGCAAGACATAACCCTGACACAACACCAGGCATCATCCCTTCAGCATCCGGCTCCAGACGTGAGGACCAGGAATACACCTTCCCTCACTGCGATCGCACCTTCGCCTCACGCATCGGCCTGGTCGGTCACTTGCAAATCCATCGCACAGAGACCGGTGAACCAGTGCCTGGAGCACCAAACTACACCCACCGCACTCGCCTCCACTGCCCACACTGCCCTCGCGCCTTCACTCATCGCATGGGTCTATTCGGCCACATGCGCATCCATGAGAGCTGCACTGACCGCAGCCTTGACACACCCACAACGCCAGGCCCCACTCCCAGTTCATCACCTTGTGCACCCACCAACCTCTCCGCAAACGCCGTCGATGCCACCGACTTTTCCACCCTTCACTCCTCCCCTTCCTACTCCTCTTCATCCTTCACTGCCACAACGACGGCCGCCTCGGCGTCTGTCACCCACGACTTCACCACAGCCGCACCTGACACAACAACAGGCACGACCCCTGCAACCTCCATCATCAGACGTGAGGGCCAGGACTACATCTGCCCTCACTGCGATCGCACCTTCACTTCACGCATCGGCCTGGTCGGTCACTTGCGAATCCATCGCACAGAGACTAGCGAACCAGTGCCTGGAGCACCAACCTACACTCACCGCACTCGCCTCCACTGCCCACACTGCCCTCGCACCTTCACGCATCGCATGGGTCTATTCGGCCACATGCGCATCCACGAGAGCGGAATTGACCACAGTTCCGATACACCAACCACGCCCGTCATGCCCAGCACCACCCTCGCACTATCCGTCTGCACCACCACCAACGCCTCCTCTGTAGCTGACACTGACACCGCCGCCTTCACATGCCCACACTGTCCACGCACATTCACCTCTCGTATCGGCCTGGTCGGTCACTTGCGAATCCATCGCACAGAGACCGGAGAACCAGTGCCTGGAGCACCAACCTACACTCACCAAGCTCGACTCAACTGCCCACACTGTCCTCGCACTTCCAGGCATCGTATGGGCCTATTCGGTCACATGCGCATCCAGGACGACCTGCGGTAGACAACCGCCGGTTACACCACACATTCACACACTCCCTACACTCCTCCACCATCAACAACACACATCAACACTCACCCACCGCATGAACCACCTGCCACCTTCCACGTAAGTGGGAAGTGTGCTCTCGACTCGGTCCCCATGCGGCTTCGGCTGCACGGGTGACTTGAGTCCGCGACTATCTCGACACATCGAGCGTCGTGGATAGGAAGGTTGCTGTTCGACGCCCGCTCTCGGCTCACGCAGTTCGTCACGTTGTGTGTGTGGGTTGTGTGTGGAGTGGCGGACTGGTGGGCTGGGGACGGGCTGAAGCAGCACCTTCCACGGCCCTCTCACGCAAGTGAGAGTGACAGCTTTCAACCCCCGTTGTGTGAAATCCTGGTGTTTGTGTGTGTATGGGGGGCCAGGTCGTGCTGTGGCGCGCGCAGGCATAGTCAGTCGACCGTGTCAGCCACCGCGCCCATTCCCCACTCCAGTTTGCCGACCGGCTCGGACGGCGGCTGGGGTGTGGGAATGGGAAGGGAGAGTGAAGTCGACGACTCAGCGCACTTTCTCCTCACTAAATCAATCTGACGCGCTTGAAGCTATCACGGTGCGCTAAAAGCCGTGGCTTGGAAGGTTGCCAACTGACGGAGTACCTAAGACCTCCTCCTTCACTGGAGTCGGTCTGAGAGTCAGGCTGCAATGGCTCCTTTTTAATGTGGCCTTTATGGCATTCCCACCACAGTGTGGGATCCGAGCCAGGCGTTGGCGGCACGCCCAGGTGCGGCTTCGGCCGTGCCAGCCTCCAAATCTATGTTGTGTTGGTTGAAATCCTGGTTATTGTTGTGTGGACCAGGGGGTGTGGTGGAACGCCAAGGTGAGGATCCGTCCGAGCCATCCACCTGCGGCCTCCCTCGTCTCCGGTCTTCTTGACTTGGTCTTGACACCGGGCTCAGGCGGGGGAGGAGGAGAGAGTGTAGGTAGATGCAGCGCAAGTCTACCCGCACTAGAAACCCCTGTGCAAGTCACCGTTCCTGCTCCCACCGCTGCTGCAGCTGTGGGGCACACGGTGGACATCGTCGATATCGACGGTCGAACTGTCGTGTGTGTGTATGTGTGTGTGTGTGTGTGTGTGTGTGTGTATGTGTGCCCTCCAAACGGGCCACGTGTTAGATGCGTTGGACCAACACGGGGGGCACATCGGACTCTGGCAGGCGTTATCTGTGCGCAATGACAAATGCCAACATTTGCGGGGTGCGCTGGCGGGCTCTGTTGTCGGCATTCGTCGCACAACTGGACCATTGCCACCACCCCATTGTTTTGTGGTCAAAATCCTGGTCATTTGTGTGTCTACCAGGGGGTGCGGAGTGGAGCGCCAAGGCGAGGATCCGTCCGTGCCATCCACCTGCGGCCTTCCCTGTCTCCGGTCTTCCTGACTTGGTCTTGACACCGGGCTCAGGCGGGGGAGGAGGAGAGAGTGTAGGTAGATGCTACCCAAATCTACTGGCACTATAAACCCTTGCGTAAGTCACTGTCCCTGCTCCCACAATGCAGTCTGTGGGGCACACGGTGGACATCGTCGAAATCGACGGTCGAACTGTCCTGTGTGTTTGTGTTTGTGTGTGTGTGTCCTCGCCTGGTATTCGCCGAACTAACCTCCAAATTGGCCATCACTCACCTAAAACGGTCCCGTGGAAAGGACAAAGTGAGATTTCGTAGGCAGTAAAGGCGAACCCAGGTCGTCTTCCCACTTGACAAAAGTCGTGATTCATAGCTGAATTCGACAGCCGCCTTGAATGTCTAAGCAACATCGTAAAGGGGGTAGCAGTTTAGGTTTCCGGGGTTGAGCAGTGGTAGGGGCAACATTTACGGCATTGTAACACCTCTCTGACATGTGGCGCTTTCAGAAGTGACGATTTACCAGAATTGCGCTTTCCACGCCTGGCGACGTTGCTGCTGTGAGTGAGGAAGAGAAAGAAGAAGAGGAAGACTGTTCAAGCATCTGAATCATCCGTTTATTTTTCTGGGCTGCCGAATTTGTTCAGGAGTACATCGTCAGAGATGAAAACAGGGACAGAACATGTTACGGCATGAAGTTCATTTCCTCCATATATATCATCTGCTTGTTACAAATAAGGATTTCAAAGGTACTCACCTACTTTCTCTGAAATATACTGATACTGATACTAACACTACAGATGCTGATCCTGCCGGCTTCATCACGGCCCTAAAATTGATGTTTGTGAGAAGTAAAACTGATGACGAGGAGAAACACTCCGTCCGACAACATGTATCGTCCTTGCTGATGGCACACAGACTCAATGGATATGTTTCGCCGAATAAGTCAAAAGCTATGGAGGAACCAATGGGGACGAACAAAGTATCATTCTGCAGGAGCAACAGTTGTTATGGCTCGAGAGGAGTACAAGGAGGAAGTCAAGGCTTTGTATGATGACAGAGAATTTTACAGATCGGTTGAGAATCCATAAACCTAAGCAATGTCAGGTCGGTTGAGTAAATCACATAGCGAATTAAGGTGGGAAAATATTATCACGGAGAATTAATGTCGCCAAATGAAAGCAAGGAATGCGGCCCTGGCCAGACTCTCTGGTCTGACATAAACCCGCAGACCAACTGTTCCACTGAGGTTGACAGTTACACTAAAAGTCTGCCCCACCTACAACTTGACAAGATATATGTACTCAAAACTAAATTTTTTTTAAAACAATCCGGCTTAATCTGTCCGATCAGCCTCCTAATGGCTTTTAGACGTCCGAAATCGAGGGATTCAACTGAACGAACTCTGGATCTTAACCCCTGTCACCATACCAGGCGATATACTGACAATATACTCGATTTAACGTTCTCGCTTTTTTGCATCCAGGTATGCCTCCCTTGGAATGATCTTCCACCATAACTTACCTCCTCCTCTAGATCATCTATATTCAAAGCAGCATTACCCAGGCATCTTGCACCGGTAAGCATAGAGTCGCTATTGACCGTTTTATTCACGAACACTCCAATTCTGAACCTTTTAAAAGGGCACTCCTGGGATTAAGTTGTAGATAGCACATGCTTCACTTGTCCAGGTGGTAAGTCTCACTTCGATTTCTACAGCCTCTGTCTTTAGTTGGTTGCCAAATTCATTATTACTACTCCTCCCCTGCATAGGTGATTTTCTTGATTTTTTATGTCATCTCATTCCGACCCCATGAGATCAGTTGACGATCACGGCGGATTCCTCTCTTTTCGCAATCTGCTTGTAGTTTAGTCGGTCAGCAATAAAGTGCATGGTCGCATCTCCCCGCGATCTGATGATCCACGCAACCTTTAATGTCCCTTCCTCGACTGGACTCTATGCAGACTGCGACCGAGCGTGTTTGGGTTCCTCTCTTCTCGCCACCCTGACGGTTAGAATAGAATAGAATAGAATAGGTTTATTGTAGCGCCCCTTGGGCACTGTCAGTCCCCTTTGAACTCAGGAAAAAAACCTAAAACAAACTCGTCAATTTCGACTGCACTTTGACTTCATTTGCTTCGGGTGTCTGGTTAGCCAAAAGAGCGCGAATTGAGAGTTTGTTTTAAGTTAAAAAAACCTCGGTTCTAAGGGAAAATAATAACAAAATTTTCAAAAAATAACGATATGTACAATATAAAAATTGAAGTTTGCAGTTTGGTAGTTTTCGGGGGCATGAATAATATGTCCTTCATGGCAATTGAAGAACTTTGATATCGGCCTGACCTTGAAATTATTTTCCTGCTGGGTAAATTTCGGTTTGCTCTAGTTGCTGGTTGTCAGTCTATCTAGACAGCTGTAAGGGGGCGGTCGCACAGTTCCTACGTATTTTTCAGGAGGCTTACCATCGTTGTCTGGACTAAGAGCTGGAAAAGATGAATATATATCAGGAGTAAGAAGCATTCAATGGTAAGTCACAATCAAAACTGTCAAAATACTATTGAATCATGTATCATATTGTTCTTGTTAATGTGAAATTATAGGAGTAGTGGTCGACTGTTTACTATGACCTAATATAGTTCTATGTATGTTTAATATGGCTTTAATATAGACATACGCACGACTAATATGCAGGGTTTTATCGAAGGGTATATTTTTATTAGCTTTATAAGGGATATTTAGAGTCAGGTGACATAGCTGATGAAAACGAGAAAGGGAGGAAAATAGAAGAATATCATTATCTGTTCTATGTTTATCAATGATGCTATCTTTTATAAATTTGATTATTTTTAGTGCTATGTTCCGGTATTTTTCAATCGGCTGGCATTATCAGAGCCCTTTTGGACCAAATTCTATATGAAAGAATTGACTTGAAAAATGTCCTATCTTATTCAAAAATAAATGTGTATTGTTATTTGAAAGGAATTTCTTAGTTTTTATTTTAAATTCGATTAGGGTTCGACTTTTCCGGATATAACCTGGAAGAGAATTCCATATAGTCCCATATCTTATGGTGTAGAAATTTGATCGTTGGGACTTTGTGAATTTGGGAATCTTTATAATATCCTCGCTATTTCTGGTGTTTCTAGGGGCGTTTTGGTTGGTAAGTAAATTCATTTTGAGAATATCTTGATCGTGGGTGACCTTGAATAGGAAGTTTAGACCATTTTGAAGTCTTCTGATCCAGAGTGGTCGAAGACAGTATTTATGATATAGTTCTAAGTATGAACCCTGGATGCCATCACTTCTAGACAAAGATCTAGTAAACCGTCTCTGAATGCCTTCTAGTTTCTTTCTGCCGTCTGAGGGCATTATGCCGAAGAAAATTGAACAGTAATCTAGGAGAGGTAAAACATACATTTTGAACAGTTGTATTCTTAGTGCATTTAAGGTGAAATTTTTACATATGAATCCACACAGGCGAGTGGATTTCGGTGATATTTGTTGGACGTGGGGAGATAAATCAAGGGTATTTGTATAGCTGAGACCTAAATCTTTTACAGATTGGGTCTCTGTTATTTCATCATCCTCGAATATTATGGGGGGGAAGTTTTTGTGGGCCAAA